TCACAAGTAACATAATTTTTTCCGCGATTCGCGCAAACGGCTTCACTGTGCGCCACGGCCGCAGCATATCCCCTCTAACTGGCTAGTTCGGACACGAACCATTAGCACGGACGCAAACCATGTGCGGTTATCGAGCGAAACGACGTAGTTGAGTTGCACTTTCTCAGGCGGCGCGTCGGAAAATGCGACACAGAAAAATTGACGAAAAATGCCGGGGTGGCCTCTCTCAGGTTTCTCTCTGGTGATACCAAATATACATTTTTTAATACATTAATAAAAAAATTTTTCGAGTGCTCTATTTTGACTCACGACAACGCACCATCTACCTTAAAAGTTATTTACCTAAAACTGTAGCAAAATGTGGTCAGTACGCTGCATAACCTATTTTAGTCTATGAGACTTGGCAACATCGCAGTAAGGCTGTACATATATCGATATATTGAAAGTGTAAACACTAAGAGTTCAAGTCGATATCGAGTCAATATCGAAATTTTAGGTTAAAAAAAATAAAAAAAATACATAATTAATAGCAAAAAAAATAATAAAAATTATAAAAATATATTTAAAAATGTAAATTTCTTTAATTTAAGAGTTTTTGATATTTATATGCATGTATATGCAGAAGTTACAATATATAAAATTATAAAAATATAAAACATAAAAGATAGAATAATGCATACAAATTAAAAAACAAAGTAATTAAAAAACAAAATTAATTAATATAAAAAGCATTTACATTTTAAATAAAGTATTTTTTAGTTTATATATTAGTAAGTTTATTAAATATATTAGTAACAATATTATAATAATATTAATATTTATGAAATAAATATTAATAATAATACAAACATATCATTAATAATATAAACAAGTATGTTAATAAACTTTTTTTTTCAATTTTCTTTTAACCATTCTATGATTTTTAGCTGTTTTCTATTTGTAATTATGACTTTATTATTTTCTTTCTTTCCTAATAATTTGCTTACACCAATCGAACCAGATGTGTTATATACATTTTTCAATCATTCTATCGTTATAGAAGCTTTTACGATATTGTTTCGAAGATTGTCACTTAATATAGTTTTTAACGAATCTAGTGTTGCAAGAGAATTTCTTATAATTATGTTCTCATCCAATTTTGTAGTTAGGGTAACCAAATTTTTTGCGCTATTAATAAGTATATATTTTGAAATTTTACATTGTAATATTTTATCTAAAATATCTACGTCATATATATCGCATTATGTGCGCCAGAGCTTTATAAATTTAGCCAGTTAGCTAGTCCTACGACTGTACATTGACCTTTGCCTTTCCTGCTAGTGTGTTTTCTAATATAACGTGTCAATAAAACTGTGAACAGTTTCTGAAAAATCTGATTGCAAATTACATAACTTGATGGCATCATACAATTTGGGACCATTAAAGTTCAAATTGTGCGCTGCAATGTAACATTTCTTAAAAGATACAAGCCAATTGAGAAAATTTCCCATTGCAACACGAAGAGGAACAGATAGGACTTCGACGCCATGATACATAAGAGTACCACAATAATTTCTCAGACCATTGGCTTCCATAACTGCAGCAGATATTTGCTGTGTTGGCTGTATGTACATATGTTGCAAAAGTTGAAGAGCCACATTTTGCAGCAATTTACAATATTTCGCTATTTTGTCCAAAGCCTGACGTTTTAAGATCAATTAAAATAATGTTTTCTTTTTCAATATCGGAATTATTTATCACATTCTTATTTATTTCTTGTTCTTGCGTGGCCGGTATAGTTAAAAGAGTACAATTACTTTCGTATGTAACGCCCTCAGCATTTTCCTTTCTGTGCTGTAATGCTGATCTATGTTTCTTCAGAGTTATACGTTTTTTTTTAAACTCTCTGCTCTTTGTAAATAATTGTCTTTGTGTCATTGTATGATTGATTCTAGAGACATGATTAGAATAAAATTTTCCAGGGGATAGACTAAGACGTGCGATAGCATCTTGTGTATAACCTTCACCTAAATTTTTTTGCCCAATGGCACAAGCAAACCAAAAATCTGCAGATTGTGAGAGACTATAGCATTGAGCTTTTGGCGCCTTACTGGTCATAACAGCATTAAGACTTTCGTTAGCGTTACTTGATGCATTCGCTGAAAATTTCGAGGCGTTCAAAGCTAACTTATTGAAAATTTCTTTAAGATTTTCAAATAGCTGAAGATCATGAAAACCGCCTGGAACTGTTCTATGATCATAATTTTCTGGATTTTGTATGTAACCACACCATGAACCACACTTACTGTGATCATTAAACGTGGGATGCATCAAATAGCTTCTGCCAATGCTGCGCTATTACCTTTATTTTGTGCTAATGCATAAGTAAAGAATCGGTGAAGATAAAGTATTCTATCGTTGTTCAGTTCCTTACAATTTTTTCCAATTCCGTATAATTGTTCTTTTACACCAGTAGATGCATGATTTTTATCTGAATGCTTAACAATAGGATGTGAACTCGAAGATCGACAGGCTGCTATAATCGAACTATCGTCATCATCATCAGTATTCCAACTTCCAAATTCTTTGATTGAAGAATTGAACTATTAGTAACAAGATTTTTTCCAACATGGGGTTCCATCGCCTTTGCTGAGCCCCAAAAGTTAAGTCGGCAATCATGATCAGCTAGACTATGTCCATTATCGCACTTTTTACATTTCCTGTTGCACGTTGAATAATCAAGAACTAATCCTGATTGGTTGCCAATAATTGCTCCAAATCCATTAAGGCTATCATAACTTTGTCCCGTTCTTCTACTACTCCATCCCATATCATATGAAACGACGAGTCGTACAACATCATTGAATGTTGTATTAGTAGGTGAGGTTTCGATATTTTTCTGCATTTCATTATTTAATAAATTGGATTGCTCATCGGATGCAATAAAACCTGATTTTAAATTATCTAGCCTAGGAAAAATGTAAAAAAGTGTCAAAATAACTCTTAATATATGGAAACGCCAAAAACAAAAATACTAGAGGTAAATAAATAAGGATAAATAATAAAAAATAAAATATACTATTGTATAAACACTTATTTTTGGTTTTTTCGTTTTATATTACTAAAATTTTTATTTTTTATAAATACAAAAATACAAGAATAAAATATTTAATGTTTTTATCTAAATTTTTAGAGAAAAAATTAAAATTAAATAAGCTTAATAAGCTTGCCATACATGTACACATATTGTAAATGTACTTTAGAATATATAATAACTATATAATTATAAAAATTAGTTTTTTAATTACAATAATTTTTGTATTATTGTTTCTTGATTTTCTAAAGTGAGGCGTTGTTCCAAATTTACTGCATTATGATAGCTTTCTTTTGCCGTTGTTTCCACTGATTGACCAACTTCTTGCTCATATCTCTTATATGTTTTAAAATCAATTGATGGTATATTTAGACACGATAATAATTTGTTTAGATGTGTCCACCCTATGCCTCCACTCCATGCAAGACACCTTCAAATACAATAAAAATAAAAAATAAATTAATTATATGCTTCCAACATTCATAATAATACATGTCTAACACAAATACTCGTATGTAAGACATGTCAAATATATTTATCTAAGATTAAAAATTAAGTTAAAAATAATGCAATATTTACCAATAACTATCTAGTCTTTGAATTTACGTCAAACTAGGATGTATGTCCACAGTATATATCTAAATACAGTAATAAAAATATGCTATTTGAATATTATGTAATAAGAGGGGACTTCCGGTTCCGGAACATAGAAGGTGACAGGTGTGAACATAGCGGAGATAAAGTGATAGAAAAGTGCGACACAGAAAGGGTGGGAGAGAGTGAGAGTAGCGGGACGGCAAGGGATGGAGGTGTGAGACGGCGGAGGAGAAAGAGTTAAGCGGGGGCGAGATCGGTTAAAAGGTGAAAAGTGAAGAAAGTGGCTGGAACGAAGTGACAGTTGAGGCATATACGGTAAGTAACATAGAGAGGCGACAGAACGTAGGAAAGAGGCGCGAAAGCGGGCATAGACTAGCTCAGTCATAGAAGGGAAGCTCGGATATAGAAGGAATAGTAGGACGTGCACGCAGCCATAGGATACAAAAAAGAAAGAGGGATAGGCAAATCAAGAACAGCGGATGGATAAAGAGAAGGAAATAGAATCAGAAAGTGCACAACAGGGAGATAAAGGAAAGAAGGGGGAAGGCGAAGGCGAGAAGAAAGCGAGAGGCAGACCAACGAAGGCGGAGGAGTTAGCCAAATTGAGAAGAACGGACAGTACAGGATCGGTCAAGGAATTCTTTCAGAAGAGTGAGAAAAGGAAGAGGGAAGAAGAGGTGGAGGAAGCAGCGAATGCGGAGAAAGAAATTCTAAAAGAATTTAACGCACAAAGAAGGGTCAACAGATCACCGCCGCCCAAAATCAAAAAAAAAAAAGCAGGGAAAAGAAAATATGGCGACGGAAGAATTACTGGAGAAGGTTAAAGAAATTTTGAAGAAAATGGAGGAACAAGAGGGAGAAAGAAAGAAAGATAAGGAGGAACAAGAGAAAGAAAGGAAAAGAGATAAAGAGGAAATAAAAAACGAAATTAAGGGACTGAGGGAGGAATTGAGGAGAAGCGAGGAGATATGGGAAAATCAAAAAAAGACCCTGGAAGGAAGAATTAAGAATTTAGAGGAGAAGGCAGAGAAGATAGAAGTAAACATGTCAATGAGTGAGGGAGGGGAGATAATAAGGAAAATGAAAGAGATAGAAAGAAATATGGAGATGGCAGAAAGAAGAAGGAGGAGAGTAAACATAATTGTAAGAGAAGAGAAAACAGGAAATGAAAAGGAAAGAAAAGAAAAAACCGAGAAGTTGATAGAAGAAATAAATAGATCGAAAATGGCCGTCGAGGAAGTACAAGAAATTGGACATGGAGAATTTAAGATGAAGGTACTGAGATGCAAAAATTGGGATAACAAACGAGAGATAATGATGAGAAAGAAAGAGCTAGGAAAGAAGTATGGCTGTTTTCTGAATGACGACCTTACTAAAAAAGAAAGGCAGATACAGAAAGAGTTAAGAAAGATAGCAAGGGAAAAAAGGGAGGCAGGAAAATGGGTAACGGTCGGTTACCAAAAAATATGGGAGGATAATAAGGAATGGAGATGGAACGAAAACAAAGAAGCGCTAGAAGAAAGGGATCACTTTCGCAGATAAGAAAAAAAAGAAGAAGGATAAAGAAGGGTTAAGCATGATGAACGAGAGAAGGAGGGAAAAGATACAAGAAAGAAGACAGGAAAGGTCCAAGGAGATAGAAGAAAGGCGGAACACACCAGAAGAAACCAGAAAGGACGAAGAAAGTATAAAGGAGGTAGATGAGGAAAATATTAGAGGAAACAGAATAAGGGAAGTCGAGGGACAAGAGAAAAGATATATAGGAGAAGAGGAAAGAAACGACGGGGAGAGTGAAGAGACGTGGAAAGTGGCCTTTTGGAACGTAGCTGGTTTAACAAACAAGGATAAGGACTTCTGGGAAGGGATAAAAGAATGGGATGTGATTGTGATGATGGAGACTTGGACTGATGAGAAAGGATGGGAGAAGGTGAAGGAGAAGCTACCGAGAGAATATAGATGGAGAGTACAGATAGCAGCCAGGAGGAACAAGAAAGGCAGAGCGTGCGGAGGCATGTTGCTAGGAATAAGGAAAAGCATAGAAGAGATAAAGGAAAGAAGGGAGACGGAGGAAGAAGGAAAAATCGAAGGTAAGATAAGAATAGGAGAGGAAGTATGGAGAATAATAGGAATCTATGTAAACAACAATATAGACGAGAAACTAGAAGGTCTGAAGGAAAGGACGGAGGAGGGGGAAAAAGGAGTAAGGACCATAATAGGAGGTGACTTTAACGCGAGAACGGGAGAGGAAGGAGAGGAAGAGGAGGAGGAGGATGGGAAGAGGAAATCGAGCGAAGAGAGGAAAGAGGGAGGAAGTCTAAAGATAAGAAGATAAATAAAGAAGGCAGAAAGTTACTGGAGTTTATCGAGGAGAGAGGATATATGATATTAAATGGAGGCACAAAGGGGGACGAGGAGGGAGAATATACATACACAGGGGGAAGAGGTGAGACAGTCATAGATTACATAATAGGGGACGAGGAGGTTAGAGAAAAGGTGGAAAGACTGGAAGTAAGAGAAAGGATAGATTCGGACCATCATCCATTAATACTATGGGTGAGGGGAAGCTCAAAGAGAAGGCAAAGGAGGAGAGGAACTGAAAAAATGAAAAGAAGGGGAGTATGGAATGAAGAAGGAAAGACGCAATTTAAGGAGAAGTTAGGCGCGATTGAAGGAAAAAGAGACCTGCAAGAGGAAATAGAGGAAGAAACAAGGAAGATAAGAAGGGTGATTGAGGAGAACGAGGACAAGAATGAAAGAATGACTATCAAGAACAAAAGAGGGTGGTGGGACGAGGAATGTACGGAGAGCAAGAGGGAAGTGAGGAAAGAACTAAGGAAATGGAGAAAAGGGAAAGGAGAAGCAGAAAGATACAGAGAAAGAAGGAAAGAATATAGGGAAATGTGTGATAGAAAGAAGAAGGAGGAGAAAGAAAGAATGATCAGAGAGATTGGAGAAGCGAAAACGGAGGGAAAGGTATGGGAGTTGATAGGCAGAGTAAGGAAGAGAAGAAGAAGGGTGAATGAAAAGATAAAACCGGAAGAGTGGAAGGAGTATTTCATGGATCTGATGGGTGGAGTGGAGAACAGAGTGGTAAAGGGAGAGGGAGACAGAAGCAGACAGGAGAAAGAAGAGATAGGACTAGAAGAGATAAGAAACGTAATAAAGAAACTAAAGACGGGAAAAGCAATAGGCAATGACGGGATACCTAACGAGGCATGGAAGTACGGAGGAGAAGAAATGGTGAAATGGATATGGGAGGTATGCAAACGTGTCTGGAGAGATGAAGGCTGGCCGGAACAATGGAAGGAAGGGGAGATAATCCCATTAGTTAAAAAAGGAGAAGGGCGAGAGGTGAAGGACTATAGAGGAATAACCATCATGTCTTCGATGTACAAAATCTACACGGCGGTACTGGCGGAAAGAATAAGAGAAGAAGTAGAAACGAAGAAATTGATCCCCGATAATCAAACGGGATTCAGGAAAGGAATGGGAACGATGGATCAAATATTCGCTTTGAATTACCTGGTGAACAGACAAATAGGAAAAGAGAAAGGAAAGATGACAGTGTTTTTTGTGGATCTGAAGGCTGCCTTCGACTCAGTGGACAAAAGAGTATTAATAAAGGCAATGAGAGAAAGAGGAGTGAGACAAGGACTGATAGACAGAGTAGAGGAAGTATTGAGGGAAACAAAGAGCAGAGTAGGGAAAGGAGGAGAGAATGATGGTCAATTTTGGACGGCGAAAGGCCTGAGACAGGGATGCCCACTAAGCCCAATATTATTCAACCTATTAATCGCAGACATAGAGGATCATATAAAAAAAGGCGGATGGGGAGGAGTGAAATTAAGAGGCGAGAAAATATACACGCTAATGTATGCAGATGATATTGCACTGCTGGCAGAGGAGGAGCAGGACATGAGATCGATGATAAGCAGGTTAGAAGGATATTTAGACAGAAAAGGGTTAACTCTGAGTATAGAGAAGTCAAAGGTAATGAGATTCAGAAAGGGAGGAGGAAGGAAGAAGAAGTACGACTGGAGGTGGAAGGGAAAAAAATTAGAAGAGGTTAAAGAATTCAAGTATTTAGGGTATACGATGAAGGAGAATGGAGGGCAGGAGGCGCATATCAGAGAGAAAAGAAGGAAGGCAGCAAGAGTAATGAGGGAAGTATGGGGGATAGGGAAGAGGATGTGGAAAAAGGACTGCAAAAGAAGGATCTGGCTATACGACACACTGATATGGACAGTGATGGGATACGGGGCAGAAGTATGGGGATGGAAGGAGAGGAGGGAGGTAGAAGGTATTCACGAGAGATATCTTAGATGGGTACTTGGAATAAATTGGAGGACGCCGGGATATATGGTCAGAGACGAGCTAGAAAGAGAGAAGATGAGAAGTAGAGCAAGCAAGAGAACATGGAAATTTGAAAGAAAATTGGAAGAAGGTAGAGGAGGAGAGATAGCGAGAAAGTGTTTGGAAGAAATGAAAGAGAGATGGAAGAGAGGAAAGGTAATAGGGAGATGGGAGCAGGAGAGAAAAGATTACTTGGAAGGGATCGGAGTAGAAATGGAAGGAAGAGAGGAGTTGGAGGAAGAGGAATTGGAAAAGAAGGAGAGAGATAAGGAGAGACAAGAAAGGATGGAAAAGATCGTAGGATCGAAGTACAATAGATGGTATAAGAGCATAAGGAAGGACGGGATCCCGGACTATCTAATGAAGGGATGGGAGGAAGCAAGATGGAACAGGATTGCAAGATTCAGACTGGGTAACGAAGTGAGGGAAGGACTATACTGGGAAAATGAGGAGGACAAAAAATGCAGGATGTGTGGAAAGGAAGAGGAAACATGGGAACATGTATGGGAGGAATGTACGAGATGGGTGGAATGGGAAGGAGAGGGGTGGCAGAATGTGGCAGAGAGATTACTAGGA